TTACACAATGTTTAACCATGACTAGTTTGAAATCCACAAAACCAGTCCGAAAATTGCAAAAAAGGATGAATGGTATAAAAGTCCTGAGCAGGCTTGTAACAGTTCCTTTGGTGAGAGGCTGCACACAAACCTGTTGTACTGCTCTCTCTGTCTCTGCATCATTACATCCAAGACAGTGGGCTCCTCTTCATCTCCCTCCTTCCTCCTCTGATGGGAAATTGAGGGTGCTTCTTCACGGGAAATGGAATGGTTTTTCATTTATGTTGCCTGGGAACTAAACCTCCCCTCTATTACACACTGCATTGATGTGAAGACTTCTATACGACATGTAATTTGCCTTCATTTTATTTTACGTTTGAAGCTTTTTTCTGTTTTGGTAATTTATCATATTGTTCTTTTAGTTATAACATGTGTCGCTTAAACCTGCATATACCACCCTAACCCTCTTCCCACGAAAAGGCTGGGAACCTGGCCTTGGTGGGTGCAGCGCCAACAACATCTGCGAGGGGGAGGGTGAAGGGATTTCTTTCCACCACATTTTCAATATCTCGTTTTCTGAGTGATATAGGCAACAATTGAACAAGCCTGATTCTCTGGTTAACATCGAAGTACAGGCACAATTTCAAGCATAAGCGAGGATGGAGGTGCAACAATATGTGCGACAAATAATATCATTAACCCAAGTAGCATGGCCTGGTTTAAAGATCTTTGCGGTGCACACAGAAGAGTCATTGATTCTAACTGCACGGCTGTCTTAAAAATCGACCGCGCTGAAAGTCAGACAGGATCTGACAGAATGTTCTGAGTGATCAGCCGCGGGAGAATCCATAAAGCAGCATCATGGGTTGGACAGTAAATAGGCCCACGTCAGTATTGCTTATGACAATTCTTTTTGCATTTAATCAGTAGATCGCGCAAATCAAATCAATATTTTGACTACCGCCACCTGCTTTCCTGATATGAGCCATCAGTATTCATGGTATCACTCTTGGGTTATTCAAATGTTGGTGATGAAGCTCTATGGGGGTCATTACATTACAGCGCGTGCTCAATACGTCTTCAACCTCCCCATCGTTATACAGCAAAAAATATTTAAAGGATGTTATGAATTTCCTAGAAGTCATTTAATATTTTATGGATGAAGGCTGCCTCCCAACTAAACACTGCATAAATACTAATGTGGAAATATATTGCAGATATGAGTGTTTGCTCACATCTGAGTCCGTGTGTGTCCATGTGTCAGTAGTGTGGGTCTCTGTAAGTGTGTATGTGTGACAGACATGATGGCTGAAAAAGAAAAAATTCTCTGTTACACATATTTCTATCTCTCCACAGCTCAACCAACCTTCCTCAGTTGGCTATTCGGCAATCCCGGGCCTCAGCTGTTTCGGATGAAAAGGTTACAGAATGTAAGCCACAGACACAGTGGAGTTCAGGGAATTAGCAGCTCTCTCCCAGAGAGCCATAGCGTTCCCAGAGGCATCAGCAGCCTCTCTCTTAAGTGCAATACATGTGATATAGAGAAAAAGGTACAGTGGGGGTGTGCTGGGAAGACCATCTGAAATACTCTGTGAGTTTAGTTTGTCGTATGTATGTAGTATGCAAATGTACACGTCCAGCAGTCACAGAGCATTCTCATTCATTTGAAGTCCTGAGGGAAATATCTGTTTCTAAAATGCTCAATAGTGTTCACTAGCTGGTCTCTAACTGTTGTGTCTGTCTGCTCTGTGGAGCTGGGAGAGTACAGTGATAATTCTCCATAGGTTTATCGCTACCAACGACCTCTTTCACACTTGCTGCTTTTCCACAGCGTCGACTCACTCTTTTTTGGTTTTCCGCCAGCAAAAGTTGTTGGTAGCACCTCGGACTTTTTCCAAGCGAGCTGAGCTGATGCTAGAATGGAGTTCTTGTTCTTGTTCGAGAAGACTATTGGTTTCAAAATCAGGGATCGGCTCATCAAGACACCTGCTCCAAAGCGCCCCCTGGTGGACTAATACCCTTAAGGGTATACCTTTAAAAAATTCTTACCACTTTTTGGTTTGTGACAGCAACTACCTTATCTTTATTCTTTTGGATGTGCTATTAAGTATTAATTGCTAGATCAAAAATCAATGTTTAAATCCAACATTTCCACCATTCTTTGTAAAAAAAGAGTTTTTTGTTCAAATAGTTGGACTTTTAGAAGGGCATGAGGCTGTTATTACCACAAAGTTGAGGAAAGTGAATACAAATACCTGAAGATTTAGTAAAATTAAGACATATTTTGCAATTCCATCTGGCTTTTATTATCATATTATCCGTGACACTCCCTCTCCTGACCCTATAGCGCATCTGACAACCCCAGCATGTTAAAACAAAGAGCCAACACTCTGTTCTTTGACCCCAGTCTCCTGCTTCAGTCTGCCCTTGTTTTAACAACCCTGTGTTCCCATTCACAATCACAGCACATCCCTGCTTTGTAATTTCGTTAAAAGCATTGGACCGGTACAGTATATCAGTATATCTCCTTCAATGACTTGGACCTCAGCCCGCCCTCGAACTCTGAGCTAACAAGAGTGCAGTGTCAGTGACTTAGTACTGAGTGGGAGTGTGCTTGTGGAAAAGACGAGTTAAACTAAAATATATGTGACATAACCATGGTTTATTGTTAAAAAAAATAACACGCAAGAAACGTTCAGTGTTGACAACTGTACAGTAAAAAGAATTAGGATTACAGAGAAGGCAGAGAAAGATGAGTCATTTAATAATTCTCATCATCTCCCATCAATGACCAGGCAGGGAAAATCAAACACATGGCCACGGCTGGTTAAAACAAGCGGAGGCTTCTGCTGAAGAGATGAATGCTTTTCATTTGTTTAGCACTGCTGCACGCTGACGTGAAAATGTGCATGCGTTTTCTTGTGTTTATGTGTGGTTTAAATCAAGGGCCTGCACATATCACACATACACACACACACACACACACACACACACACACACACACTCTCTCTCTCTCTCTCTCTCTCTCTCTCTCTCTCTCTCTCTCTCTCATTTCGGTTTTAATGGCATAACTATATCACACTGAAGTGCTTCTCTTTGGAAGCATTAGAGATTCCACAGCACACATCCACATCCACAGTGGGTTTGCCTGTGTTACAGTTAAAAGCACAACCATGGCCAAATATTACAACAGTCTTCCACCAGGAGATTGAAAGAGGGAATGGTATATTCTATATTTCGGCATATAGAAAGGCATATGTTTCTGCTCTTGCTGGTCAGGGTGTATACACAGTAAAGCTTACACTAGTGTCGGAGTACAAATGAGGTTTGGGTTTAGTCATACAATACATAATTCAGGCCCAAGAGCTTTCAACAGAGACATCCTTCAATCTCTTGCTTGGTTATACTGGACTTTGCGAAAAAAAATTAGATGGCTGGTACAATGTGCGAAGACACATGACTTGAACAGAAGATCTGAGAGACTTGAGACTTTGTCACATGAGTAAATGACTCGATGTAAATTACTTTACAGTTCTATTACTTCAGAAAATATTGCTCATCAAGAAGAATGACTATATTGGCACCTGGAGCAAGCGGTTCTCTTTGGGAACTGGGCAGTTCAATGTAGACCCAAAGATGTCCAAGGCACTCATACATTTGTTTTGATAGTTATTATTTTTTCAAACATTAGCAGGGGCATATTTGAGAGTTTGTCCTGGGTGATGAAATTTGAATTCACAGCAAACAGAGGATTTGCAACAGACCCAAATGCCACACCAGTGCTGTTGCATGCACTGTAACTTTGCAGAATAGAGCCTTATTTTTTACTGCCACCTAGTGAGCAGCTATTGTTCTTTTATTGTCAACTCGTCCACGTTGTTCTATTTTCAACATATATTCCAATTGCCTGGAAAATACATTTGTCATGGAATTAATTATTGTCAGAAACATAAAAAAGGGATAACAGGAGCAAATACACAGTATATCCACAATGGGCCACAGAAAACCATTTCATCAGGTTTGATTCCTAATTAGCAAGAGGGGGGAGCTGGAGCTGATACTTGTATGATAATCATGAACATAATTTCATGGACTTAAACAAGCACTAACCGTACAACTCAATTTTGAGGATCAGATCTGCAGATTTCCACTCTTTTATAATTCATGAAATGTATGAATTCGTGTGTTTTTTTATTTTTCTCGGTGGCAGTTTTGATAGAACAAAGGGGACTGAGGTGGGAGGGATGCCTGTTTTGTTCTACTGTGAACTACAATATCAGTTTTGTTTTACTAAGTCACACCCAAGTGCACTACCCTGCCTGATCTTGCAGGATTATAAGGAACACTGTTTCAGCAACATTTTCCCATTGTCTCCCCATAACTGTCCTGATAATTGTGCTGGTGTTGGAACACACCATTGAGACAGCAGGGCTCATGTGATTGTCAGTGATCATGACCCAGTTTATTGCAATCAAAAACATGAGCGCCAAAAAGAAGGGTGAAATGTGCATGCAGATTACACCATTGTTTCATAGAAATACAATCTCAGCATGACGTGTTTATGAGAGCTATCGATGACTGATGTCACCAATTGTGTAAGTACAGCTGCAGCAACAACGCACATCGCTGCCTGGAGAAACAAGTGTTTATTTTCAGCCAAATAAGCTACAACATTCAGCAAACAAAAATATTTTATTGGGTGGTACGAAATACTGAGCAGAATCTAACTCAGATTGATGAAGTGTGTGTAATTTGAAAAAACAGAATCATAAAATGAAAAGACAAAAATCACAATATCAAAGAGCAAAAAAATTAATACAATACTACAAAACCTTTCTTAGAACAAAAATATTAGGGTGCTAATTCTAATTGTATCTGTTTTGTAAAACATTGTTTTTTTCCTCTGGCTCGTGAGCACCATAAAGTACATATGAATCGTGAGTCTTTAAAAAAAAAATGGATGGGCGTGGTTTAACGTAATGACGTATGGTTGTGTTACGTAAACCGTTCGGCGCAAAAATTCAAACGCTGAACAGGAAGAAAAACTCCAGCTTGTTCTGTTCTCTGAATGCCGTATTACAGATAATAACGAGCCACAAGAAAGCCACATTGGATTGTAGACATTTCGAGGTATGTTCAGTGGACTAAGTAGGTTTTGTGGTAGAGCTTGTATGTCAGTAAGTCAGTTAGCCAACAATGATGGTGACAACACGTTCATATCAGCTAGCTAATGCTAACCTGAGCTACCCTTAAGACACGTAAAGTTAGCGTAGGCATCAGCTTATAGAGCTGGTCAACGTTTGTTTTTGGGTTGTTTTGTTCGTCTTGAACATGGTTTTAGACAGCTTAGCTGTGTTAAGATAACATTTTGCTTTCTTAAAAAGTATATTAGCGCTAACGTAAATCACTTTTTAGCCAAGTTAACGTTATAACTTCACTTAAGTCCTTTTGTTTACGTGCGAGAGTCTGCCGTTCAAGCTAACGTTAAGTTGACGCTAACGGTAACTTAAATTTAGAAAGGACGGGATTTAGCGAACGTTACTTAGATGGATCACACAAAACAACAAATTCTCAAAAAAAAATATATATATAAGTTAATGCTAATATATTTCTGTGGTATAAATGCATATTTCTTCTGTTTTCATCGGACATTGTTGATTCCTCTCATGTGAGACTCTTGTATTTTCCACTAGAATCCTTTTGTTTACATAATATGGCCAACTAATGTATGTGAGCTCACTGAGGAGTGAAGGGTGTCAAATTATAGAAACAGAAAAACAAGGATGGTTTCCACTTTTTCTGATGATGGTCTTCACTGCAAGACATTTTATACACACATTCAAAATACTGTCTATCGCTCTTGAAAAATCCTAGATTTACATCTCAACTTAAGTATGTTAAAATGAGCATTGTCATGCCAGCTTTGTTTAATATCTTGAAACAAAATGATGCAGCACAAGTGAGATGCAGATTCAGTTTCTCTTGACAGTGAATTTTAAACCTGTGTCAGCACGTAGCCTCTGTGATCGTGTTTCTGTGTCTCCAGCTAAAATGAGTGCAGCCTCCACACCGGTCTCCCGGATACGTCAAGGATGGACGTCATCCTCCATGAAGAACAAGGGTCTGTCCCCTGCAGCCTGCAGCACCCCACTGCTGACAGCCTTCCCCGGCAATGACGATGAGCAGGAACGACGTCAGCGTAGAAGATCAAGAGTCATTGATCTTCAAACTGCCACCGACTCCTCCTTCAATGACTCTGCATCTCATAGGTAAGGTGGAGAGAAGAGTGCGTGTTTTAAGCACAACTTTGATTACCATCTGTCATGTAGAGTTTGGTGTGTTTGAGAGACTTTAAATATATAATATCAAGTCTTTTTATGCAGTGCTGCAGGGACTCCTGCTGCCGTGCCCAAGCTGTCAAATGCACAGATCTCAGAGCATTACTCCACCTGTATAAAACTCTCCACTGAGAACGTGAGTACATATACACTGTGTGTGTGTGTGTGTGTGTGTGTGTGTGTGTGTGTGTGTGTGTGT